TAGTGACCTTGATAGACTTGTCAAGAAATAATCTTGAAGGAGAGCTCCCGAAGGAGATAACACAACTTTACAATTTGGTTTCTTTGAGTTTATCTCAAAACAATTTAACAGGAGAAATTCCAGAGAAGATTGGAGCCTTGAGGCTGTTAGAAACTCTTGACCTCTCAAACAACCGTCTTTCAGGTTCGATTCCAGCAAGCATGTCATCTATGACATTCTTGAGCCATTTGAACTTGTCTTATAATGATCTTTCAGGATCAATTCCATCAACAAACCAGTTCCAAACCTTCAATGATCCATCCATTTTTGAAGGAAACCCAAAACTTTGTGGGGCTCCATTGCAGATCAACTGTTCAATACACAGAAGTGATGCTCCGGATGACAAAACTGACAAGGGCAGAAACGGCGAGAATATTTGGTTCTACATAGGAGTGGTGTCTGGATTTGTGGTGGGATTTTGGGCTGTCTTGGGAACTTTGGTGATCAAGAGGTCTTGGAGACATGCTTACTTTCGGTTTGTGGAAGAAATGACAGACAGGATCTGCGTCTTCACTGTAGTGAAGGCTACTTGTTTGCAGAAGATGCTGAAGGGTGAAAGAAGCTGAGACAATATATGGCAAAGGTACATATATAACTTTCACTTCTACTTACACATAGTACTTGTATAACCCATTTTAAATTATAAGCTTTTGTTTGTTCTTTCAGACAATAAATTGAGGTCTTCGAGGTTTATCAATTATACTCCAAAAAGCAATTTGGACTGCTGCAAACTATACTGTCTTCCTTGAAGGCTTTGGATTATGAAGACAGATGACTAGTTTGGTGGATGTTTACTTTGTGATGCCAATAATAATAGGCTAACATCAGCCTTCATATTTTTGTTGTTTTTGTTGTTTTTTTTGTCACGGAATGTCTATGTTTTCCATCCGCTGTTATCTGGTTTGGAGTATCGATGAAAAATGTCTTGTTTATGTTATTTTGAACTATTGAATTTGATGTTTTGTGTGATTCTTATGCAACCTAAGTTTATTCAATTTCTTAAAAAGCAAGACATAAAAACGGTTTTTTTTTTTAATGAAAAAGCATTGCTATGTTAGATAAACTCTTATTATTTTAATTTCTTGCCATTGAAGGGGCCAGTTTGACGGCCTAAACTAGCTTTCATTTCATCTCTAATTAATGTACTACAAATTATATGAAGAGATCATTTTCTACCTCTCCATAAAGAGTATAATTCATTGCAGTTTCTTTTGAAATTGATATTAGCTCCTACACTCATGGGAATCCCATGTTCTAAACATATATAACGGACAATAGTTTGCAAAGCTCAAGATTCGTGAATTTCTGCAGATCATGAAATACCAATAATCAACTCCTAAGAAAAGAATCAACAACCTATTTGTTCCCTTTAAGTAAGATCTTGAGTTCGAGTCTTGTGAATGAAGAAACAAGCGTTGGGAGAACTTCCCCCTTTATAGGATCCCACACAGCTTGATTCCAAATTAGTCGGAGTCTAACGTGACTTTCGGATACTAGGAGGTTAGTAACCAAGAAACAAAAAAAAAAAACTCTTAAGAAAAGAAAGAGTGCTCATATATATTTTTAGGTAGATTTCTATTCTGCACAGTTCAGAAAGTTTCTTTTTCTAATCCATTTTATAGATGCAGTAGTAATATTAGAGAAGGATATGTTATATATGCAAACTATTTTCTATTTCCTTGCTTGACTCATGCCTTGATTTATTCTTTGGTGGCCATTGGAGTAGCAATGGTTGATGCTTCAAGCATGGAAGCTCGAGTGAGAACATCTCTGGCATATTTGGCTTAGGATAGATAGAAATATGCCACCTGGAAACCTATTTACCTCAATGTTGAGAAAATAATTGAGATGGCCTAAGTTCTTGAGAGTAAACTTGCCGCTTGAAGTGATGATAATTTCTTGAAGTAATGGAATGGGACTTGTGGTGAAGACAATGTCATCAACATATAGCAAGAGTAGTACACTTTCCTAACCTTGATGGAGGACAAACAAGGAAGAATCAGCTTTGCCACAATGAAATCCCATTTTTAGAAGTTAAAGAGTAAATGTGTCAAACCATGCCCTTGGAGCCTATTTTAGACCATAGATGGACTTGTTGAGCTTATAAACATAATTAGCATGTATAAAGTCTTCAAAGCCAGACGGTTAAGTCATATACACTTCTTCCTTTAATTTTCCATGGAGAAATGCATTCTCTATGTCTAGTTGCCTAAGTGGCCAAGATAATGTTGCAGCAATGGAGATGACTAATCTCAATGTTGTAGGCTTGAGAACTGGGCTAAAGGTCTCATCAAAGTCCACTCTTAGTACTTGAGAGTATCCTTTGGCTACCCATCGTGCCTTAAACTTGTCTACATGTCCATCAAGATGCAACTTTATCTTAAACACCCATTTTAAGCCTACAAAATTTGTTTATGGAAAAGGTGCTAGAACTAGTGTCCATGTGTTGTTGCTGTGTAGTGACGCTAGCTCTTCTTTCATGGTATTAACCCAATGTGGTAGTTACAAAGCCCTCTTGATAGTTTTGGGTTCTCAAATATCCAAATCTACAATATTCAAATAGGGGGTATTAGTAAACATATTATGAGCAGATTTAGAAAAGATAGTTTAGACATGTCTTATGTGTTTCCTTGATTTTGCTCTAGTCATCATAAGGTGAACAAGTGTCAAAGTGGAATTATAAGCTGGTGGTGAAGCTCCTTCTCTATTCAAGTTGGATTTTGCTTTAGTCATCATAAAGTGAATAGATGTCAAAGTGGAATTAGGAGTTGGTGGCGAAGCTTTTTCTGTATTCAAGTTGGATTTTCCTCTCATTATCATAAAATGAACAAATGTTGAAGTGACAAATGTTGAAGTGACAAATGTTGATGTGGAATTGTGAGGTGGTGGTTAAATGCCATCTTGATTTAAGTTGGATACTTGTGCTTGGGAAGGTTAAGATTGATTGCATTTTTCTTGAGCAACACTTGGTAGAGATGAGCTAGCCACTTGATTGCGTAATTGAAGCTGAAGGGGATATAAGTTCCTCTTGGGTATTTATTGCATATGACATACTTTATGTTGAATTTGCTTCATTGTTTTCTATCTGTGGTGTTGCCTTTCTAGAGATTGTTACTTCTACATTATTATTTTCTTCCTCTACATCTATATTTATGATTGGAGTGCATTCAAAATAAGCTAGTGTAGATTTTGGCTCCTCCAACTTACTCAATGGTTGTAAATTTGACATGCTTTGTTTCCACTCATCATAATCTAGATATTTGCAAAGTTCTTCACCTGTAATAGTATTACTTGAAAGCTGTGTGAGATTAGTGTATGGAAGAAAATTTTCATCAAAAACTACATGCTTAGATACATATACATGTTGAGTAGAAGGATGTATGCATTTGTATCCTTTACGAATTGAACTATAACCAATGAAAACACAAGGTAGAGATCTAGGTTGGTATGCATGATTGAATCTATACTAGCATTTTAGTGCTATGTGTCTTGCAATTCCACATATTTAACAAAGATTCTCACCTTTTTATGTATTTTTTTGTTGCAACCCTTGCAATGTAGTTTCTTTTGGAGTTGGATTCTTATTCATTAAAATTTTCTATTATTGTTGTTAGACCAGCTATGATTGTGATTACTGACTTGGAGAAATCGTCTCCCACGAGAATTGAAGTGCTGCTATTGTATCCTCTACCTCAATTGCCTTTCCTTCTTTGTCCCATAAAGACCTAAGGGTATGCTAAGAGTTTGCTTTCTTGTTCTACAACTTGTAAGTCCTTTTCATTATTTTGCAATCCTGTAGTTTACTGATTAAAGTTAGCTAGGATATGGTTCCTTTGATAGAACTACAAGATTGTAAGGTAGATATTTGGTGCCTAGAACTCTAGACGATTGAAACACCTTATCCCAGTCATCAAGAGGATTGTGGGTTCTAGCAAGTCTATCACAAATCCCTTTGAATTTCCTTATGAAATTTTCAAGCGGTTCATTGTCCCTCTTTTTGATTGCTAACTATACTTTGAGATGTAGTTCTTGCTTCTTGGTCGAAGCTCAATAATGCTCCACAAGACATTTCTACATTTGAGATGCTATATCACATCTAACGCAAAGTTGTCAATATTGTACCAGCATACGTACTAGTTTTGCTACTGAAACAGTACATATCAAATATTGAAAATTTTCATATACCATTTTGGATTTATCGCCATAAATATATATTTTTATAAAAAATATATATATTTTTTGTAATAGATGAAATATTAATTAAATTTTAATATATTTAATTTTTAATTTAGGGTATTTAAATTTACTTGTTTATTTTAAGATGTCATATAATACATTTTTTATACTTTACTTTTATTTTAAAAAGATAATTACAACATATATTAAATAAGAAGATTTATTAAAATAATTATTAATTAAAAATAAATACTAAATCTTATCAATTAATTATTATGTTTTTATTTATTAGATAAAAAAATTAGACTTACTAAAATTAAACAAAAGGAGTAAATAATTAAAGTAGATAGTGATTATAAATTTACACTAATTTCTTATTAGTATGTAGTAATTTTTCTTCCTTAGATTAATTTTAGGTAAAGAACTGAGAGAAAAAACTTATACAAATAGAAGGCTAGTTATCAGTATAATGATACATTTTATGTTGTAGTAATTATTGTTTTGATCATTTTAGGTAGTGATAAGTTTTATTTTTTAAAAGTAATTTTTGAAAATTTGATAAATTTAAGTAATACCATTTAAGACATATATTGTAATTATTATATAAAAAATTTATTTTAATTCCAACAACACTAATGTAAGATAAAAAATGCCACCTTATTGTCATATAAGCAATGGACCCCACTAAAAGCATCTTTTCAATACGAATTGATGAATGTCTAATGTAAACTGTGCAAAAAGAGTTGATTTACAATCATACAATGAGTTGAGGGCTGATTTGTGTCTATTTTTAGTTGAGGGGTTGATTTGTCACCATTCACTAAGTACAGGGGCTGATTTGCCTTTTTGCCTTTTTTTTTTTTAAGATTCGAAGTGTACCGATTAATTTCGAGACAAAAGGTGCAAATCACCCCTTAAACTCAACAATTGGTGGCAAATCACTCCCTCAACACATTTCACGCGCAAATCAACCCCTCAATTCACCTGCAGTGGCAAATCAGCCCCTCTCTTAACGCTTCCGTTAACATTTAATAGTTTGCCCATCAGCCATTCCTCTGGGTCTAACATGGCCTTTTTTTTTGCTGAGATGGAGGTGCCACCTAGACAAATACCTCAATCCAACCCCAAAATAAAAGCCCATATAACCTACTCCATTCTTCAACAGCTTAACAACCTTGTTAACCCTTGTTTTGTTCTCTCTAGGGAACCAAAGCAGAGGTATGTTTGTTTCCTCAATGGAAGCTAAATCAAGTTTATGCTCTTAAATCAGTGATTTTGATGGGTGTTTTGAGGGGTTTGTTGGTGGGTTTGGGGTTTTGTGGGTTAAAGTTGCTGAATTTGTGTCTGAGATTTCTTTGGTTTGTGGTGTTTTTGCTCCCTTGTTCTGGGTCTCTTTAGTGGTTTAGATGGTATTTTGAAGTGTCATTACTTGGCTTATGGGTTTAAAGTTATCTGCTTTTTGTGAATTGAGGCATGAATTATGGAAAAGATGTTAGATTTGCTAATTCTGTGACTTGGGTTGTGCCGTAAATGATCATTCTTTGGCGTTTGATTTTCTGAGACTTCGTTTTAGATTTTGGGTTGTGGCATTATCGGCTCAGATTTTATACAGGCACCATTTTAGATTTTGGCTTGGGTTAACAGTTCGCTCAATTGCCACTAGGGTAGAGTAGTGAGTGAGAAAATGGTTATCATCCACTCCAAGCTTCCGTTCCTAGTGAAATTCGTCCACACCATAAGGAAGATGAGCATGATAATCTTCTAAAGTGCATCGGCGACAATGAACCTGTAATTCATTTTGTACGAATTGTTGGTGGAAATAAAGTGGAAAGATAAGAGCAGGACGGCGAATATGGCGACGAAACGGTTGATGCTGGA